TTACACAAAAACCCTAAAATTATAATGATTATCCAAGATTATGATTTTACATTAATTCTAACAAGACCGACCCACCCCGACCCACTTTTCACGGGTTTGGATCATGGCATATGGGTAGGGGTCACTTTCGGGTCGACCTGAATAAATAACCGGGTTACTAGGGTCGACCCGTGTATGACCCATTTAACCCATATACTGCATGTCAGGCACTTGATTCTTCTCCAAAACTTGTGGTTCTTCGTTGGGATTAGATGGAGGTTTAGGGTTATCGTTCAGTAGAGGGGGTCGGATGATGGTACGGACCGTAGCTGCAATCGCTTCCTTGATGAATGATATTTTGTTGGAATTGGGAAAATTTAGGGTTAGGGTTTGGGAGACAAAGGGGCAGGCGAAGGACGAGGAAGACGAGAGGATGCGTGTGAGCTGGGTAGGTTAATTAACTTTGTACACGGAATCGCACCGACTTGGCGTGCCGCCCATGACCGCAATTTTGGTGTTTTTCGAGGTCCCTGACATTCTTCCATATTTTCAATTAGTCCCTCAAATCGTGAAAATTGCTATGGGGTCCTTCAAAATCTTAAGTTATTTTTAAACTTTGTCCCTCAAATCATTGAAATTACTATTGTGCTCCGTAAACCTTAAAGTTATTTTAAAATTAGTTCCTTGAATCAAGTGTAAAACTCGGAATCAGAAGGATTAATTTAAAACAACTTATGAGAATCTGTGATCTAATGACGACTTCAATGATTTTAAGTGACCAGTTTGTCTCCGTAGGCTATTATATATTTTCATTTGAGACACTAATTTTAAAATGAATTAATACTTGAGGCTCTTAGTAGCAATTTTAATGATTTAAAGGAACTAATTTTTAGGTAATTTTAGATGTGAAGGATCTAATAGCAATTTGCATTATTTGAGGGACTAATCGTAAAATATAAAAAATCTTAAGGGAGAAATAGGAAAATACCCCTCAGTTATTGTTCGGGCCGCTGCAGTTTTCACGTTGGTTTCTTAGAGGTCGTTTGGTTGAGTGGTTTTATAGAAAACTATATAGAAAATGGCTGATAATGACAATTTTGTAAATAAAATTTTTCTTGAGATTTCTATAAACTATGTTTGGTTTAAAAAATTTATAAAAAATTTTTCTATAAAGTACAAAAAAATACCCGATTTTATAGAAATTAATTTCCGTTCAAAATGAGCGAAAATCACCCAAAAATCTAACACATATATTAAAAAAATAATTAAGTATATCAGTGCCCTTCCTATGTAATTTCCCATGGGCATTATTAGTAAGTTATTTTCTATAAAGTGACATTCAACCAAGTAAAAGAAAAAACAACATATTTTCTATAAAGTTAGAAACTTTTTCATATTTTGAACCAAACAAAGAAATAGCAAAAAACAAGAAATATGATACTTTTTTTAGCTCTATAAATTTTTCCTGTAAATTTTATAGAAATACAAGAAAATCAAAATTTGAGTACTTTTCTTTTTCCTATTTTTTATAGAAATTGAACCAAACAACCCCTTAGTTGCTTGGTTTCTCGGGTCCTTAACATGGGTGATTTGTTTCCTCGAAGAAAAATCTCAGGTTATTTCAGTACACATAATAAACGAGTTGGGTCACTTTGACCCAAATATTAAACGGGTTGGGTTAGAGTTAAACTTAGATGGGTCGGTTCATGTGCTTTTAATAATGTTAATGGTACTTTTTCACGAAAAACCCCTTATTTATGATCATTTATTAATGATCAATTAATTTAAGTTAATAGTTAAGGTGTTAATTTGAAAATGTATGTTGGTATTTATTGGTTTATATAACAGAAATCATTTTTGGGATTGTTTCGAAACAC